CGCCTCCTTTCTCGACCCGCACTCCGCTGGGTTTTGGCAAAGGAGCATCAAGAAATTTTCTGAGCGTTGAAGACAAGTGGTGGACACTCATGGTAGATATAAGACCGGTCAGGAGTTGTAAACAAAAAAGATAAAATTAAAATCAAAAATTTGAAAAAGTGTTGCAGGACTTTCTTTCCAACCTAATATAAATGTGGTTAATGGTAAGGTGAAATGGTGCCTCACTAGTGTAGTTGGTAACACAATCACTCGGTGAGCGTGAGGTGCGGTTTCCGTTCCTGTCCAGAGGTGAATGGTTCTGCCCATAACTATCATCCTTGTGCAACTAATGACTAAAGTTTCTTGAAGACTAGACTAATGAACTGTGTTAAATCAAGTTTCGAAAGGGTGAAATGACTGAGCTCTTGTCAACTGGATCACCTTTTCTGAAGCAAAAACTTCAAAATTTCAAAGCTCGAACCCTTCAATATAACATCTTTGTTCACTCAAAATCCCACTCGAAGACTTGTATGAATGCATTTTTGCACCATTTTTTAATCACGAGTTAGCACGATTCCGCCCGTATTTTGCTCTTATATCTTTCCCAATAAAGCAAATGGTGCCATGAACAGGGTAACCTTACCTTCACTATCACTGGCTGGATGGGTATCCGCTGAATGATTTCTCGGTGACGTGGCAACAAATCGTACAGTACTCGATTTTTCGTGGCCAATCGACGAATTTCTACGACAGACGCCCAATCAATGTCCTGAAAAGACACTTGGCTACTGAATGAAAGGGCTATTGAATAAGTATAAATAGAGTACCATATACTGATTATACTTAAAACAGCGATCGTAAATGGCGATGTGTACTGCGTGCACCGCCCAGGGATCAAGCGCTGGCCAAGTTTCCCATTCCTCTGGAGTTGATTGATTGGTACCAGATTAGTGTGGGAGCGTGAAGTCACTACTCGTTCATCGAGTGATTCCCCTTCCCCCAAGTCACTGTATGGGCCAAATTGCACTCGAAATGCCGTTGGGATCAAGTGGAAGTGAAGTGCGTGGCGCATACGGAAATGCTAATCGACGTGGAATCTCTTATCTTTGATCCTTTATATGTGAAGCTAGATGGGACGGTTGAAGATATCTCGAACGTTCTCCTAAAGCTCTGGAACACCTATGAAATTTCTTACACAGCATATACGCACATAAGTGCAAGCTATAGAAAGGCATGAGCTTTGCGTATATGCTGTGTAAGAAATTGTTTCCATGGGGTCTTCGGGTGGGTCAATGATATGCACGGAGACCGAAAGAAAGAATTTTCCTGTTTTTTTCGGTGAGTTCAACGCTAATTAAACCAAGTCAGAACAAATGACCACTGCATTTACAGTGGGTGCGGGACTTTTGGCTCGTCCGGGCTGGCACGCGGCGAGTTGCGCGGCGGCACGCGCGGCGATCCGGACGAGACAAGGCTTCGCGGGTTCTGCAGTAGAATTCAACACGTCAAAGCGTGTGCAGATTGCGGATAAACTCCGCATGGTTCTGCTGTTTGAAAAACTTTCCGCTCGCGAGATTTGAAGCAGCGGTGTCGGTGAGGAAGTTTTAGCGCAAGGAGATAGGGGAGGCCTTCATGAAACTGTGCGAATAAGATTTACTAGAATTGATTGTTTCTGTTGAGATATTTATTTCTGTCGATATATCATATCTTTTGCTGATCGAGGTGCTCATTTCCTTAGGGGAACATTCAAAACAAAACAACGAAACAGGTAGTACTCACCAGGGAAGGTCATCAGGCCGGTCCGGCCATTTGCAATGAGCTCTATACCGTTGCACTCGCCTCGAGACGCTGAGCTCAAAACTGTCTTCCCTATCTGCTAAACGATTTTTTGAACGGAGTTATAAAGCAAGGAAGCGCAGCGGTAGTGCCCTGTCTCGCAGGCAAGAGGTTGTGGGAACTGCTCGCAAACTCTTCATACAGGCAACTAATGGCAAGTGTTGATAAATTAACGAATTTAGAAGCTTTTCTGCCACATTGACATTGAAAAATAGAAAAGCATGCTTCCGAAAACCGTTCCCACCACCTCTTGCCTGCGAGACCGGGGCACTGCCGCTGCGCTTCTTGCTTTATAACTCCGTTCAAAGAACCGTTTAGCAGATAAGGAAGGCAGTTTTGAGCTCAGCGTCTCGAGGCGAGTGCAACGGTATACAGCTCATTGCAAATGGCCGGACCGACCTGATGACCTTTCCTGGTAAGACAAAGCCCAGGAAAGGGGAGGAACGCCAGGGAGAACACAAGTTACCTCCCCCAGAATCCATGCCTCCTCCCCAAAGCATGGAACGTCCCCCCAACGACATGAGCGCCCTGATTGCCATAACAGCACTATGCTAGTTCCTTCTCATCTCTTCCTACTGTTACCACCCTGTCCTCAAAATTCCAGCCGTTCAGATGTATTTCGAATTGCAGAACCTTGCGGATTTTATCCGCAATCTTCACACGTTGACGTGTTGAATTCCCGCGATGCGTCCGGATCGCCGCGCCGCTCGCCGCGCAATTTGCCGCGTGCCACCCGGACGAGCCAAAAGTCCGTCGCCATTTACAGTCATTGCCGTGATCGAAACAAGCTTTGCAGTTGTAAAAGTACTAGTGCACTGAAGACAACTGGGCAATTTTTCGCAAAGAAATGTGGAAGAGTCGTGGCAAGAAACTCCGCAGGGCTTCGTCTGAAAGTCTCACCGTGTCGTCTTCGTCACTCCAGATAAGAAGAGACACAGCTTTGTCCATCCCAAGTAACCACAACAGTTGATCCTTGGAATTGGAAGCCTAGAAAGAGTAAAAAAGATGTGTCGATTTCTTCATTCACAGTTTTTCCTGTATCAGCTTCCCACACTCACCACAGACAAACGAACAGATAACATCACGGGCTGGTCGAGACGGGCGATATACTCGAGAATTTGGAACAGTTGTCTCCAAGTTAGCCTAGAAATGAAAACAAAGTTCAAGAACAATTGATCATCCTCTGAAGTCCACTCAAAACAGCCCCTGTAAAAACTATACACACTATGAGACAAAGAAGGTTGACAAGCTCTGGTTTGGGGTGCGAAATGGGTGTAGGATTATCGACTCAAAACCGCAAGCGTAGTCCACTAATTCAAACCACATGTGAATCAGTACTGCACAATTGTTGATTACACGCTCCAGTTGTAAGGAATGCAGGAAATGGAAGATCCCGACTTAATAAAGGTCGTGAAAAACAAGCGGTAAGTCTGCTCGCGTATGTCTTAGCCCGTAGGGAACGCCACCCCTTCAGTTTCTATCCAGAATCACAGGAGCGCTCGAAATAGCAGCCTCTAACACACTAAAATATTGGTATTTATCAAGTTTCGAAACTGATCACAAATCACAGAAGACTGTGAAACTATGAAACCGCGGCGGAGGTAATGCTCTGGCCTCGGAAGGACGCCAACTCCCCGAAGGTGCGGCTTCTAATCATCGTATCATGTTAGCCAAATCAGTTACATCGTGCTCACCTTTGGTTGGCATCGAGTGAAGCAATTAGAAATCATAAACACACCGTTTATACTTCGGATTCAGGAGAGTTTATAGTTGGATTGTTTCGTCCAACCCAACGAAAGTGTCGCATCTGGGAAGAGGCGACGTGCTCGATCGACGAAGGACGACGGATCAACGACATTCTGAACACATAAGATTCTCCAGTTGTGGCTATATCAATTGTTTGTTTTGGTTTTGATTTTGGCACCATGGACGGACCTCCGCACTTCTCGCTGATCGAAAAACATTAGCATGAAGTATGACCGGATACTGTAGAACAGGTGCAAATGGATCCGCTTGAGACGCGTACAGGTACTGTAGCACCGGTCGTATCACTTCCGTCGATCGAAAGTTGATTTTAATCGCTGAAATGGTATCTTAGGAAGTGGGCAATGCTTTGTGTAACACTCAGTTTACAGAGACATTTGGTTGCAAAGATTTCTGTACTCGGCATCAAAAATAAAAAGTATAGTACAAGGTAATATTTACCATGTTGTGATTCCGCTCATGCCTTTGC